GCGGGGCTGGAGCTGCCGCATCCTTAGCAGGGCAGGAGAGGCGCTCACCTGAAGATGGGCCCCAGGGTCTGGAAGAGGCGGTGCACGTCCAGGTGTCTGTTCTCGTGGCCCTGGTCCCTCCAGATCTGCAGCAGCCTCAGCCACCTGTTGCCCGGGCACTGGGGGATGGCCTCGAAGGGCAGCACCGGCTTGTGGGTGGGCGCAGCCCTGGTGCCCAGTGTCCTCGTGCTGAGCAGGCGCAGCCAGGGCCTGGCCAGCCGCGCACCTGCCTTCATCCCAACGGACACTGCCATGCTGCCTCCTCCCCGTGTCGGCCCGCGTTCTTTTTATCTTGCCGTGGGCCCTGCGCTGCTTGGCTGATGGCGTCAGTAGAAGGACTGTCCCTGGGTCTGCCCTGGAAATGTTGTCGGGGATTGATAGATTTCCTTGGTGGGAGGTGCAGGGAGGGTTTGGCTCAGTGCCTCATGTCTGTCTGCAAGGTCTGTGGGGGCACGCAGCAAGGGCAGAGCAGGTTCTGAACTGGATGGAAGAGGGAGCCTCCTGGCAAGGAGTAGGGGCCTCGGATGAGGCTCTAGCTCTTCAGGGAACCCTGGATTGCTTATTCCCCCTGAAGATCAGCAGCCAGACAAGCCCAATTTAACTGTAACTATCCACAGTTATGTCCTCGTTGTCAAATGGGAAGCTGGCGTGGTTTGCGTTTAGCACATACAGCACTGTGTTTTCACACACATGCCCATTGTCTAGGGGTAAGAAAGCTAAACAGCATGCTCAGCACGGCTACGATTCTCTCCTGAGGAGCTCACAGCCCTCTCAGCACATTTTAATCACACTGCTTTTTGTGGGGTTACCATCTTGTTTCTTATCTCTGAACTACTTCTCCTGGCTAGCTAAAATTGTGTGTCCTCTGACCCGCAGCTCCCCAGACCCGCAGCTCCCCGGGCCCCAGGACCGCACGTGTGGGAAGCGTGAGTCTACTTAGAACTGCGTGGAACTCACATCTCTGGTGCTTGTCTCTGCCTTGCCTTGTCCATTCACAGGCTGCCGGGTCTTCCGTGATGGCACAACCGTCACGTTCCAACTTGTGGTGTGTGATCGCATCTTGTTCCTTGTCCGTTCGTCCATTCGCGGGCACTCCGCTGGCTGTGTGGACGGGGTTTCGCGTCTGTATTCCTGTCCTGTACCGTCAGCTGTGTGTACGTGGGGGCATGGCTCTGCTGTTCCGCTCCTCCAGACACGCCATCGGGTGTACATACACAGTGACATACACAGATGACGAGAAATGGTTCGCCGTCTCTTCTGCCTGTTTGAAGGCTGTTTCTGTCAGTACAGAAGCTCGCGGGAGCTGCCACAACAGACCGCACAGACCAGGGTCCACAGCCAAGGCCCGCGTGTCCCGCGCTGCCAGGGGCCAGGCTGTGCAGGTCAGGCATTCGGCACAGGCCTTCATGTGGGCTGGGCTCTGGGCCGTGGGTCTCCGTCCAGAGCGTCGTGTGAGGACGCGGGGCCTGCTGGGGCACTGGGCATCACCGGCCGTATCCCTCCTGAGAGCTCTGTCCCCAACACGACCGCGTTGGAAGCTGCCATCTTCAAATATGGTTTGGGGAGGGGCACAACGTTTCCTATCTAGGTAGTGCTGTGGAGCACTGGCTAACTGGGTAAGATTTAAATACAACTTGGTCCCTCGGGCACGCCGCACGAAATCAGTCAGTGCTCCGGGCTGCAGCCCCTAAGGTCAGAGGCACGCGGCCCCGATGGCCACTGACCGCGTCAGTGGGCGGGCGGGGGGGAGGGGCGGGGGGAGGCCTCAGACTCCACGTTTGGAACTTTCAACAAAGAGTACACGTCTGTTTATCTGTTTCTCTATATCCTATCAGTCCCATTTTGCTAGAGAGCTTTGTCTTAAACAAGGTGAAGTTCATCAGACGTATCTCCTCTGTACACATACACACCACACTACCGTCATATTGCAGATACAGTGACTGAAGAAATGACCAGAAGAATGTTTCACCCTATCAGCTGGAGGTTTCGCTACCACATGGGTCGTGATGAATAGAGCACACCGACCAGAGACGGGAGTTCAGTGGAGGACATGATAACACTACACGCCTCACCACCCGAGGACCGAATGCCCGCTCTACCTGTGTGTGCAGCTCAGGATTCCTGCAGTTGAACGCCCAAGCCTCCTCCCCCAAACACAAAGGAAAACAACGCTACCAGTCCAAAATGCAAGGGAAATGAGACACTCACAAATGCAAGACATTAAACCACATGCACTTCAGATCCATGGCTACAGAAGGAATTGCCATGATTAGAAATATTTTGAAGCAGAACAACATGTAAGCTAGCTCATGAGAGAAGGCGGCAGAGCGGCGCTCTGGGGTGGGGAGCTTTCCGCCGCTCATTCTGAACAGAGGAGCGCAAACCAGCCACATGGCTTCAGACCCCTTCCTGTGCCATTTTTGTGAAAGCTATCTCTCACTCACCTCGCTTGCTTCATTGTGAAAGACTTTTGTGTCTTTTGTTTTATTTTTCTAGCTATGGTGAATGCTTTGTTGGCAAATTCATGACTGTTGCAGAAAACTTCTACTGAGTTTCAAATATCGATTGTGTACCAAGTGTCAATTTTGAACTTTGACTGACCCTGTCAGTCCTCGAGGCCTCATTGGATCTCAGCAGGGTGAACACTCCCTCTTCCTGTTTGCCTTCTTTTCCTTGCTTCACTGCTGTGGCTCAGACTTTTAGTACTTTATCTGATAAGGTGGATGAAGGGGATAGCCTCAGCTCAGTCCAGAATGAGAGAAAATGCCCTCAGCTTCTTTCTACTCAGGATCAGGTTGTGGACGGGCTTCTCAGACACAGCCCCCTTCATGCGGAAGCCCAGTACTTCTGCACCACATTTGTTTAGGTTTGTGATCAAGAAAAAAGTTTCATTGTATCAAGTATTCTTCCTGTATCTACTGAGATGATCATATGATCCTATTCTTCATTCAGCTGATTTAGTTTTGGCAGGGGCAGTGCCAGGATTTGAACCCAGGACCTACCACATTCTGAGCAAGTGCCTCTCCACTTGAGCCTTGTCTGTGTATTTGTCGTTTTGTTTTTGAGTAGGGTGGAGAGAGAACTTTGCTCAGGCTGGCTCTCAACTCCAGATTCTTTTACCTCCTCTTCTAGGAAACCTGGTGTTGGGAGAATGTCCCGCCATGCTGGCGGATAGGCTGTCTGGACTGACATACAATGTATTAAAGCCGCCTTTGAATTCCTGGGATAAACCTAACTTGTTCATGATGAACAAACAGTTTATGTGCTTTCTGATTTGATCAGGTGTCATTTTCTGGACATTTTTGCATCTGTACTCCCCATAACTATTGGTCTATAGGGGGCGTTTGTTGTGGTGGTTGTTTTTACCTTGACCAATTTTGCTATCAGAGTAGTTGTGGCCACATAGAAGGATTTCAGAAGGTTCATGGCCTTCAATATGTTGCAATAATTTGACAAGAGTTACCATTCATTTGTCTTTAGAGACTTGTTATTATTCTATGATGAAGCCATGTGTCCTAGACTTTTCTTTGTTGAAGATTTTCTCATTGATTCTGTATTATTTGTTATTCATACTCTGAATTTCTATGTTAAATTTGGGAGCTCACATGTATGAAGAAGTGTGTCCACTGTGTCTAGGTTTTCCAATTTGCTGATGTAGATTTGATTTTGGAATTCCCACCTGGACCTTTCTGTTTCTGGAGGACTACCTCACACATCCCCTTTCCTCCTAAGCTTTGTGAAAATCTTCCCTCTTTCCTCTTGGTTCCTGTAGGTAAGAATTTGTCATCACAAAAGAAAAAAATTGTCCTTTCATTGATTTTTGTGGTATTATTTTAGTCTCCGTTTCATTTATTGCTGCTCTATTTTTAGGTAATTTTCTTTCGTTACTAATTTGGAGTTCCTGATTCTCTTAAATGCATTGTGATTCTTTTTATCTAAAAGTCTAAAATCATTTATTTTTTATCTAAAAATCTAAAATCTATTATCTAAAATCTATTTTTTGAATTGTAAAAAACCACTTTAGTAATACACCATATGGCTTTACCCACTTAAAGTTTATTGTACAAATGGTTCTTACATGTGGTCACAGATTTTTTTAGTGCAACCATCAGAGCAATCTAGTTCTAGAACATTTACTAGTCCCAGAAAGAAGTTCTGTACTCATTAACAGTCCACTATTCTCCTTCTGCCCCATCACCGTTCCAGACTCAAATCACCAGCTACTTTCTGTCTCCTGGATTTGTCCATTACATATGAAAGGAATCACATCATCTGAAGATTTTGGGGACTGGCTTATTTCACCTAGTGTGATGATTTTATAGTCCATGTGTGTCAGTACAACTGTCTTCCAGAATCTGTGTTGAACTGGTTCCAGGGCTCATACAGATACCAAAAGTGAGGATAATTTTTTTAGAGGTGAGGATGAGCTACAAAAGGTGAGTCCTGTGTACCGGGAGGGTCCCGAGGGGCCTGGATCTCCCTGGTGTCACATAAAATTGACGAGGGTTCCTCAGCTTTCCAGTTTCCACACGGGAAAAAGCATTTCAGGGAATCTCAAAAGAAGAAAGTCTCATAAAGTGAAAATTTTAACAAGGATGTACCTTAGTATCACTTGGTTAAAGTAGGGAGAAATGGAAAAGGAGGGGAATACTTCCTACTCCCTCTGCAGGAAATAGGAAGTAAAGACTCAAAGTGGCTGCTTCTACGTCTGGCTTTTCCCCTTTGAGCTGGGTAAATGCAAGGCAGCCATGCTCTGTGGGTGAGTGGGGTGAGGACCACCAGAACACGGCCTAACCTTCGGGGCTTCCTGGGCAGGACATGCCCTCCATCCTTCCTGCCAGTTCCCACCCACTTCCAAGGACAAGACAGATTAGAGGTTCTCCCCTGTTTTTAAGGAGAAGGCAGATTTAGACAGAGTCTCCCATATCTTCTATTCTTGTAACTTAACATTAAAAAGTGATTTGGAAGGAGGAGAGCTTGCCTGCTTTTTGAGCTTACTTCCTGGCTTTATTCTGAGTCTTGCCCCTTTGACATTTGTCTAAAGAATACGATAACTTCCTTGTGGCCTCATCCATCTATCCTGCTTCATTGTCCCCCTAAACAATGTTAGTTCCGGAAGTGACGCTGGGGCTCAAGCGGTAGAGCGCTCGCCTTGAGCTGAAGAGCTCAGGGACAGCGCCTAAGCCCAGAGTTCAAGCCCCACAACTGACCATAAAAAAACAGCAACAAAAAAACAATGTTAGTTCCCTTTAAT